GGCAGGTGCAGGACCCTGTACTTGGCCTTGCTGAACTTCAAGAGGTTTGCATAGACCCACTTCTCAAGCCTGTCAAGGTCCCCCTGAATGGCATCCCTGCCTTCCAGTGTGTCAACAGCCCCACAAAACTCAATCTTGTCAGCAAACTTGCTGTGGGTGCACTTGATCCCACTGTCCATGCCACCAACAAAGATGTTAAAAAGCACTGGTTCCGGTATCAATTCCTGGTTGACCACTGCTCTCTACTTGGACATCAAGCCATTGACCATAACCCTTTAAGGGCAACCATCCAGCCAACTCCTTATGCACCAAGAGTTGCAGTCATCAAATTCATGTCTCGCCATTTTAGAAACAAAGATGTTGTATGGCACACTGTCAAATGCTTTGCAGAAAGCATTGTCACTCAAGAAATATAACTTTGGAGCCACCAGAAAGTTCCCATTACAAAACCTGCAATGCTTAGAAACCTCTAAATATAGTATATAGTATATGGTACTATATATTTTTGTCTAGAGAAAGTATATCTCTTTGGATATATACCCATATATATATATATATACATAAGTATACTACATACTAAGCATGTAGTAACTAATATATGACAGTCACAGCATCTAGAATTCTTGGATGACACTGTGGACACTCTAGAAAGCAGAAGATTAAGTAGGGGTAAGCTGATTTTGTTTGTGACCTAAATTTCATGTTTCACTAACACAGAGAGAGTGAGAAATAAGCCCACAGCCTTCAAGTATTGCACATACATACACTTCAAACACATACAGATATTAACCATTCCCCAAGCCCTCTTTGCATCATAGCAGAATTCCCAAGCTAATACAAGCATACATGTTTAGCACCACATGTCAATATACATAGTGGAGGCACGGGAAGTAGAAAAGGCAATGTGAAAGCTAAGGGATTAGTCTAAATGGAAACTAGAAATCTCAGAAATACGACAATGTACTCAGTCCCAGAAATTAAACAGACCAAGTTATGGAACATTTTTCAAGCCTTATAAGAAAGACTTAAAAAAATGAGAGACCTTGAGCTTCAGCTTACTAAGTGTTGGCAGCCTCAAAAACATTAAAAAATAACAGAAAATTATTACATTTATAGGAACAAGGCAAAGAGTTTGAAATGTGTAAACTAATAATTTTGTTTCTTGTGGTAAAGTCTACATTCTCATGGCAAAACCAGTTTCCCACCCATCTTTTTGGCTAAATATACCATAAGAAACATTATTTTTATATGACAAGTTTTCTTGTCTTGTCTTTTTCAAGTATTTCCCAAGAATCCTCATTAGCAATTGAGCTAAAAGAAAAATAAAAGACAACGGTTCTGGAAAATTGATTATCATAAATAGTATTATCTTGATGAGTTCAATAGCAATAGCTCAATAATTTATTTGGCTACTGATCCTCAGGCCAAAGAAGTAGAAATGATATCTGATCATCTAGTTCTCAATCTCAATTTTTCTGGCACAGTGTGTTTTCTACTTCAGAAGCACTCCAAATCTATGCAACATATTGGCATCACTGCAAACTGGAAAGTTAATAGGTTAGACAGTGCAGCAACAGCTATCTTTCAACTAAAAAGTCCACAGAAACTTGTCGTTATTCTTTCTCCTAATTTCTAACTCTGGAAACTAGAAATTTCCTCTTTTTGACCATGATCAGAGTAATCACTGAAGGATAAAACCAGACTATTATTTGAAGAAAAATAAGAATGGAAAAAAAACCAAAATGGGAGGCAGGCAGGTTTTTTGCAAATTCCTTTCTGTATAACAATCTGTTGGATATAATCCTTTATACAAGTGTCATTGTACTAAAAGAAAAAAAAATTAAATTTAACATTTCCTTCCATTATCAAAACCCAAGTATTTTCCCATGGATTTCTCCCTCATGTCCAGCAGAGGGTAGCAAAAGAACAGATTTGTGAACTCCAGAAAACATTAATCTCCACTGCTTTTCAGAAAGTAGCATATATTAAAATATTTTAAGACTGGGGTTTAAGTAGAGGTACACTACTCCTCACGCAATCACCTTAAGAAATTTCTTCTTGTCATCAAGAACTTAAGTATCCATTTGCTAACCAAATGATCATTAACATGAGGTACTCAGCATGGAAATCGAAGATATGTATCCTATATCTACGAACTTCAATCTGCTAAAAACTTCAATCAAGCTAAAAATTCTATGAAGAGAGATAAAAAAATACAGATCTACTTAATGAAAAAATGTAGACCATTCTGTCTGGGGTGTACTACTTTAAGACTTCTATATCTGAATAGAAATTCAGCTTGGCTACTGATATCATGATGCACCTAGTGGATGAAGGAAGTTGTAGATGTTATATATCTAGTCTTTAATAAAGGGCTTTGACACCATTTCCCACAGCGAAGTTCTGAAGAACCTGGTTGATTATGGTGTGAACAGGTACACTGTTTGCTAGGTAAAGAACAAGCTGGATGGCCAGGCCCAGAGAGTGGTGGGAATGAAGGTACATCCAGCTGGCCCCAGTGAGGTTCCCCAGGGCTCAGCATTGGGGTGATCTTCATGAGGGAATTGAATGCACTTGCATTTGTAGATGACACAAAGTTGGGTTGAAGTATTGGTCTCTGTAGGGTGGGAAGGCTCTGCAGAAGGAGCTGGAATGGCTGGAGAGATGAGACAAGACCAGCGCCATGACATTCAACAAGGCCAGGTGCTGAGTTCTGCTTTTTGGCCACAACAACTCCAGGCAGTGCCACAGGCTGGGGCCACAGTGACTGAAAGGTGCCCAGCAGAAAAGGACCTGAAGGTGCTGGTGACAGCAGTTGAACATGAGCCAGCTGTGCCCAGGAGGCCAAGAAGGCTGATGGCATCCTGGCCTGTACCAGCCATGGTGTGGCCAGCAGGACCAGGGCAGTGATTACTCCCCTGTACCCGGCACTGGTGAGACTAAACCTCCAATCCAGTGTTCAGTTCTGGGGCTCTTAATTCAAGAAGGACATTGAGGTGCTGCAGAATGTGCAAAGCAGGGCAACAAAATTGGTGAACAGTGTGGAGCACAAGTCCTGTGAGGAGTGACTCAGAGAGCTGGGGTTGTTTAGCCTGAAGAAAAGGAGGCTCAGGGGTGACCTTATCACTCTCTACAACTGCCTGAAAGGAGGCTGTAGCCAGGTGGGAGTCAGTCTCTTTTCACAAGTAACTAGTGACAGAATGAGAGGAAATGGCCTCAACTTGTACCAGTGGAAGTTTAGATTAGATATGAGGAAAAAATTCCTCATGGCAAGGTAGTTGCAAAGCATAGGAGGAGGCTGCCCAGTAGAATCACCATCTACAAGGTTACTGTAGGTCCTTTCAGATAATTACACATATGCAATTTACGTCTAAGATGGTAGAGATGCAAGCTGCCAACAGGATATGTACTGACGTCTAACCTAGTTTGTTTTTTTCGATTCAAAGACTTGTACTAATTTTCTTTAACTTTCATATACAAGAGGTTTCATGACATACTTTTCCTTAGTCACTGCTTAAATAGCTATCCTTATCAATAAGTAACACGAGACTTATTTTTCTGCAGACTGAATATATTTTCTTACATTACTAAGATATTCAGAAAATTAAAATAGTTTAACAAAAATTTAGAACCAAAAAATATATTTTTTCTATTATGGTTAGTAAGTAGCACTTCCCTAATAACACCATCATAGAGTATAGCAACTGCAGATTTTCAAGGAACTGCATCCTTTCTTTTCAAATTTACAGCTGGTGGGTATATTCAATCAAAGTATTTTAAAAAAAAATTTGCTGCATTTCTCCTCCTCCTTTAAACTCACGACTTCTCTGTTAGTATACAAAAAGCCATGAGGTCAAAAGAAGAGTTTTTACTCAAGTACAGGGATGAAAAACTTTGTGCTTTTTAAAAGGGCTATTGGAACTTCACAGTATGCAACACATTCCAACTGAAAGCAATTCCACTTAGGCCAATAAGTGCAGCTCAAAATACATGACAATAGATTTCCTGTAGAATTCTTTGGGGGCACAAAGGTCTACTTTGTTGGTCAATAAGTCAGTGTTTTTAGTTGATGAGCTTTGATCTTCCCTGTAGGAATTTTCTTTTGTGTTTCATCTTTAATGCAGGACTCTACCTACCTAAAAATCAACACTTAAAACATTTGTTTTGCCTTTAAGAGAAAAACAACAGGAAAAAAAAAAAAAAAACCCACAGCTGAAAACTATGTAACTTGTTTCTTTAAGGTTTAATATTTAAGAAGTGACAGTTCTCTTAAATTCAGTGCAGAAAATATTTAATGTTGCCTTTGGTAGAAAACATACATCAGGATTGTCAATATTATTTTCTGCAATGACAAATGTTCTACCAAGAAAGTCTTGGTCCAGACTGCACGAACATATAATATAACTACTACAAATCCTATTAGTTGACAAATAAAATATTGAAACTTATGAGGAAACTAGCTGGTTAATGTAAAGAGCCTACAAGATATTATTCTCAAATACTAGAGACTTCTGAAACATGGATGTCAATTCAACAGAGAGAAAAACTAAAGCTGCAGTAACTAACTCTAGGAGGAGGCTGCTGTAAGACCATTGTGATCTTTCAATATTCTACTCCCTCACCTACCACATCATCTGGCAATTTCTGCAGCTCCAGCAGATTCTCCACCAGAAATCCATTAAACCAAAAATACAAGAAGATAGACAAATTAAGACTTTAGATTTCCTGAAGTAAAGTTAGTTAGCCTTGTTTTCACACGTAAACCTATGTTTCACACATAAACCTTTTCCTATTTGATGTTTAAACACAAGTCTCAAGCTAAACTCACAATAAAAGTGGCATTCACCTGTTCAGCCATCTTTGCAAAACACATGTTCAAGATTTCGTTCATCAAGTACACAGAATTCCAGCCTAACTGGAAGGTTCTATCCCTCAAAAATAAAATTGCTTAGTGTCAGTGCTTGTTGAGACTAATAGTAGCAATAGTCAAAAAGCCTTACTTCAAGTTCCTTTAAAAGTCTCTTCTCTCGTTCAGTGCTGCATTTAAGTTCATTGGCCTGGCATCTTAGCACCTCATTGCAGCCACTGTGCTCCACTTCCACATCTCTCAATTTCTTGCGTATATTTTGCAGGTCATTATTCAGCTCCTAGAAAAGAAATAAGGCATTAAGAGTTACTTTTGCTAAAATAAAGTAGAAAGATCAAAACAGGAAAGACTGCATCAAAACAGGTTAATAAAATCTAACACATCAGCACATGTCACACATTTACCCAACAACAGCCATTCTTCATTCACCACCAGATAACATATGTTGGCTCACAACTCACAACAAACATGACCTTCTGCAGTAATACAAAAATCAGAGCCAATTCTCCACAGGAAATTTTTCTCTAAAGAAGTACAAGGCTGCTCCTCCAATCTGCTCTCTCTTGCAGCTCAATGGCAATGGTGGAGAGGGAAACAGTTAAGTGCATTTGACAAAATGACAGTTTTTCTTTGTTATTATTCTGTTAGAACTTCAAATCATCAGACATTTGTTGAAAGTTACTCCCGCAGAATAAATATTCTTAATTTCTACTATTCTGAGGACTTTTCTCAGAAACAGAATTATAAAATTAGCTACATGAACTATGAATTTCTTGGAAAGATAAAATAACTAAGCTGCTCCTCCCCACAATTTCTGCCTTTGGAAGTTGAACCAAGATACAGGATGCTGTAATTACTAACACTATTGGACTCAGCAGCTCTGTGTAGTCACTACTACAAAATCCTCATTCAAGCCACACCAGACACAGAGGAAAGTAGCCAAATAATGAGCCCCCAGTAGCCTAGCGCATATTTAAGCTGGGGATTCCAGAAGCCTTAAAAAAGAATAGCTTTGTTCTAGTGGACAGGAGTAAGCTTTTCTATAACTAGCATCAGAAACAAGTTGCAAATCCAGTGACTTAGCTGGAAAACCTTTTGAAAGCCAATTACTTTCCACCCAAAACACAGAAAGATTATCGTAAGTCCTCCTGTTCATTTATTCCTATAGTTTATCATAGCAAGAGACATTTTGTGAAAATCAACCAGCTGGTCTACAAATTCTGCTATTACTCTTACATCACATAATCTTGTTCCTTAAAATTACTAATCATAAGGCATCTGCAGAGCAGGGAGGAGAAGGAAAAGAAAATGAATTATTGATAAAGAATGATTCTTTGGAAGATTGAAATTTGACAGAACCATGTTTATACATGAAGATCAAAGAAATATGAGTATTTTCCAAAGTCTAAAATAAATTTTAGAAGTTCTTCATGACTGAAGGTAGAAAGTTTTGGCCTCTTAAACATGACACTAAGGGATTCATGACACCCTTATTAACACCTTGTGCCACTCCACTATCACCAGCTAGTAACTGAAAAATAAATTCATTTTCTCTTTTTTCATGTGGAGGCACTATGGCATGATTTTTTGGCATTCTCTGAAAAGGTAACAAGGAGCATGCTTATGAAACAAGTGAAGTAAAAACCAGGAACCTGAGTAAATCAAAATATTTCAAAACCAGTCTATCTGGATATGGGTTAAATTTAAGGAAATCTAACTTTGCCTGTAATACCAAAACAATTAAGAGGTTTCTTCCCATCAGCATGCAAAAAAAAGTTACTTTTACTCAAATTTAAAACTACTCTCATCTTTTCTATATTGGAAAGATATAAAAATATTTCTCTTCAGATTTATCTTCCACATTTTAACAGAAGTGAGCTGTGAAAACTGCATATGAAATAAGTAATACATAGCTTCCTGGAAAATACTATATCAAGACTTCAAAAAACTGACATGAATAATACATCAAGCTTGTTAAACAAGTCAACATGACTTCAGAATGTTGAAGTCTCTGAACTTTCCAGATATGATATTACTGTGTCAGACTTTTCCAGCAGTTACCCGCACTTAGAAGGTTCAGAAAGAAACATATTTCACCATGCTAAAAAAGAAACACCATTACATATATACATGTGTACCTGCATGTCACATACACACTCACTATACATATTTGCTTATCAAAAACATGGCTGGTCGATTGGTTTAGAGTGTGTATAAACAGCACAGTTTCACAAATAGTCCAAGGAACAACTGATTGCTTCTGTGAAGGAATAGTATATTCTGACTCACCACAAGATGATGCTATTGCATTTATTATTGAACTCCAACATCTTTTACCATATACCAAACACAATGCTAAGCACACTCAATATAGCACAACACAAAACTTTCTCTGTTAAAAAAGCAGAGAGGATTACTTTAACTCCATATCATAGAGACACATTTTAGTAGATTAAATTAACTTCATTTCTATGCCTACCTCAGCATTTTCACAGCTAAGTTCAGACTTATAGTTCACAAAGTGCAGGTTTAGAACCAGGATTTGTCATTCATGTTAAGGATCTTGCTTCTACATACATATTAAGAACACTTTATGAAGCTTTCATCTCATAACTCAAAATAACTACGAATTATTTAAAACAGGACTGTAAATACATAACACTGAAGACTGGAACACATTTGAGGCTTTAGTTTACAAACCTACAAACCTCTGATATTTATCTGCCAAATTAAATCAGTTAAGCTTTCAAACAACAACTAAGATAGTCAAGTCCTGATTTAACATTTATGCATGCATTTTTTATTTCCCAGAATTTTATAACTATATGTAACTATAACTAGGGTAATGGGCAAGGGAACACCACAAAAAAAAAAGTAGAAAACCTGAACTATTTGCAATTGAACTAAATAAAAAAAAATTTCTATTCAAAGCACACTGGTAGTTGACATCTATAGTGAACCACACACTTTAGGAGTAAACAATTATATACCTTTAGTGCACTTTTCCAACCAAACTCCTGCTTCTATAAATCACCTTCCACTTCCAAATCAACTTACATTGACAGAGAACACAATGACCTGAGCAATGCACTGTTCCTTTTCATCTGACTACGATCACTTCTAAGAGTATAGTATACTTCTTAAAACATCATTATTTTCATACAGTATTAAATGCATTGAATAAACCCTTCTAAACTCTATATACAAGACATGACAAGTCCATTCCAAATCCTCCTCAAATTAAGTCAGTCTACTGTTAGCCAGAACACAGAGCTAAAGCACCAGTCTTAGCCTGTGTTACCTGGTAACTTAATAAGAAAGCTGTGACTAAGAGTAAATTTCGTCATAGCCTACACCTAACTTTAGTTTTTCAAGCATTGACTTTGAATGAAAAATGACTCATGTTTCTGTTGGTTTGAGAAGGACCTTCGGGTATCATCTGTCAATGCATTTACATATTCTCCTCTGAAACCTTCTCTTTACTTTTTTTTTTTTAACTATACCTTTACAGTTCTCCCAGTTAGTCTCTCAAAGTACTGTTCAACATATCTTCAAAATTATTCAGGGGACAAGGAAATTTCCTTTTTATCCTTTATTCAGAGAAAATTCAAATCAGTGGGATCCTTTTCCACCATCAGGTCTCTTCATCATTAAGATAAACAGCACAATGCAACTCCTTTTGCAGTCCATGCACAGAAACACTATGTATCCACACACTACCTGATTTCTACTACAGGTGTCATTACTGCACCACTCCTTCCAGATCTTGCCTTCAAACAGCTGAAGAGTCAGTACCCAGTACTTTTGAAATATGTGTAATTAAGGGAGTGTTTCTGCACTGTTTTGCTTTGCGAGCTGCTTCTACAGGTTCCATATAGAATCTGAGCAACAGCACCATAACCTAGTACAACAGGTAGGTTTGCTGTCAGAATCTGGCTATCAAGCTACCAGGTATATTTAGTGTCATTTGGGAAGACTGGTACTGTCCCAGGCTTGGAGCTGAGCAGTTAGGAAGAAAGTAACCAGAAAATTTTCGACTGCTTGACCAATGACCATCCAAACTGAGACAAGTCTGTCACATCTTAGAAGAGACTACAAAGGAAGAAAATATGTTAAAAAGTTAATCTTTTAGCAGCAATCTGTTCTCTGCACACATCATGCAATTCAGACGTCTATTGGCCTTAACAAAGCCTCTGCATACATTTCTTTTTATGAAGAATAAATACAGCTGAATACATTCTGGTTTTCCATCAAATAGTATTCTTACATAGGTAAGACACAACATATATAACTTGTCATTTAAAAAGACAAAAGTATAATTGAAGTACAGTGATGTAATTGTTTGTGTCCCTGTGGAGCAGTTAAAAGTTAGATATGTTCACTCAGCACTTCCACACCATAATGGTACATGATTTCTTCTAAATATATTTCAGTTTTGAATAGCTTGACTATCTAGAAAAGGTGCAAAAACAAGTTTGTACTTTTATCACTTTTTACACATTTAACACCCAAAGGATACATAAATATCAGTATAAATCAGGAAATATGAGGAAATTAATTACTAAATAACAAAACCCCACAATCTAGAACAGATTATAATGCCATTTCTAAACATTAGGTGATTTTTATCTAATCAAATGGCAGAATTACCAACAATGATTACTTTTCTTATGTGGTATGAAGTGAGTAACATACAATGCACAGCTTGAAATCCCATCATCACCGTTCAGGTTCCCTGAAAGTATGTTGTCCTCATATTATACAAACTGTTTTCATATTCACAGGCTTCTGGATGCCATACTGAGGGGAAGTAACAGGGAAATTGAATCAGTGGGTGTTAGGTGTCCCGATTTTACTGACTCAGTACTGCATAACAGTGCAAATGGACTGTGCATTGGTAACTTGATTTAGGCATTCACCATCAAAATCAGCCATAACACATTTCATCAAAGTAAGAAAGACTGTCACATGCCAAGTGTAACTTAAAAAGGCAACATTCTTCAGAAATATTCTGCAGCATTTAGCTACTTGGGAAATTTTTTCCTACACCAGAAAGACCTCAATCCAGTATACACTTCACACCAAAAAAGTTCCAGCCATTATCTCATGCAATTATTAATACACCATACCAGTAAAATAGTTTCTACTTCATTTCTTTCTTTAAGAAGGAATACCTATTTATTGTTATAAATTCTTCTGATACCATCCTTCACCTTTGAGAGTCTTTGCTGTTCTTCTTTCCACTTCTGTTCAGCATTATGAAACATTTTCTCAGTCTCTGTCACTTTCTGTTGAAGGTTTTCATTGAGTACTGTTGTTTACAGAAAAAGAGAAAGAAAAAAGGTAGAAGCAGTATGGCATAACATATCCAGAAAAAAACCCCAAACACATAATGATCATCAGTACTTCTGTGTATTTTGATACCCTGTGGAACACTGCAACATTAGCTCTCCAGCATTGGAGAGCACCATCTTCACTAAGAAGAAACCAGCAAATTTTGTGCTCCTATCACATCTTTCCCACAAGAATACACAAATATTTGAGAGATTTTAACAATTAAAACACTTTTTTCTCTTGGAAAAGGATAGAAACCTGAGATAATTATTTGTGGGTCCCTTCTGAATCAGCATATTCTGTGATTCTGTGAAATGACATCCTTATAGGATAGAGGACTTAATTTAAAGTTTCTACATTTTGCCAGATTATTTCCAAATGTAATGTTTGATATAGGTAATACTCTTCATCAATTAAATCTGAGCTCAGTTTAAATGACAGTAAAGATAGGCACCTGTTCCATGAAAGAGACTGTAGAGAAACCAAAGGTAGGTTGAATTACTAGGCAAAGATTTAGTTTTTCCAAGGAAACTTAATTACTCCTCAAGACATTTAAATCTTCAGCCCATAAATGACCTGAGATGGGGAACATCGTATACACACTTCTGTAAAAAGTTAAATGCCATGGAAACCTTCATAACCTGTAAGCAGCTTTATAGGAGAAAATATTTTACAACAGCTTTTCATTTTACTGAATACAACTAGCTGCACTGGCATTTAAGTAATCACTTTGCAAAAGGATTTTATTTCAAATTCTATCCCAGTTTTCTGACATTTCTTCTTAATCAGAAAATAATGAAATTAAGAGAGAACATTATGATGACACAGGGAATCAGTGGACACAATGATAGGAAAGGACTGTCAGGTGGCAGAAAATCAACCCTAAAAAAGAACAGCAGAAAAAAATCTGGAGAAAACACTGAAGGGTACAAGGCACAAATAAAGCATTCTATCTGAGGAGAAATGCTGGGGTCATACCAAAGCACCATGCGATGTGAGAAAGGCTCCAACTGGCAAAGGAAAAGAAGCAGAAAATTACTAATTGCTAGAAAATTAAGCAGCAAAATTGTAATTTGGTTTCTTTGGCACTTGTCACAGACATAAGAAGTTTGAGAAATTTCAGCCATGGAATTTGTCATCAATTGATAGACTGGTATTAAAAGAAACTAACACACGTGCACTTAAGAAGATATCCCTTGCCTCTGTAAAGCCCCTCTTACCCCTTTTTGTTCCCCTGCCCCTTCATCACATGTTAGCCCACTCTGTTCAGAAAAGTGACAGGAAGCCCAGCAAACCAGGTTCACTGTGCTGTGGTTCCATCAGCATCAGTCCTGCCTCTTGGTACCTGGATGGCATGAGTCTTATACTGGCAAGGAAACCAGCAAACATGGAAAGAAACGTGACTTTGCTCTAGGTGGAAACTACCAATTCAAATCTTCAATTTGTAATCACTGAGAAATTTCCAGAGGGTAAAAAAATGCCTTCTTCCAGATTGCAATCCATAAGATTCACCATGTTTTATGTGTTTGCAATCCCTAAGATTTTTGTTTAGTCATGTGTTCTCCAAAAGAGTGGAAGTTCAGCTTTCCCAACATCTTAAAAATACTTGTTATTTTAAGTACTTGCAAGATCCAAACTCTGTTTCAGTTCTTGGAAGGTTAAAATCTTCGAGGAGTACTCCAAATTCTTCATTGAGTATCAACAGCTCATCAAACTCACAAATACATCTCCTGTACTAGATTAAATAGATATAGTAGTTTAGGTAACTAAAAATGCACCTAATTTCCTCATTTCATTCACAAGAATGAAATCTCTCTGTTTGAGGAGTATAAAGGAAATCTGAGTTTCTGAATAAAAAAGTAGTAGGAAATAAAAAGTCTACATAAAAACTTTCCCTTCTACATACTAGTGTCACAACACACATTACTACAGAAAAAAGAAACAAAAACAATGAGAAGAAAATAAACGAGACATGAACAATTAAAAGCTTGAAACATTAGAAAAGATGAAATAAAATATACATATGATGAGAACTTCTGGAAAAAAGCTGCTGGAAAAAGTGCAAACAAATGAGCAGGAATTAATTTTTTCTATTCTTTTTTCTTCCCTTTTTTTTTTTTTCCCTCTGAAATGGAAAAGGAAGAACTACTGAACACAGGGATAACCCGGATGTGAAGATGGTCACCATGATCACAGTTCTGTACACAGACAGCACTGAAGGAAGAAGTAACAGAAAGTGATGGGCAAGAGGAAAGAAGGGTTGGAAGAGTTAGCCAGTTAGTTCTAATCCACACATTAGACAGTAAGAGCTTTCTGAACTCTTATGAGTTTTCAAAAGCAGATGGATAAGAGATGGGAAGATAAGACAGATTCCAGAAAAACAGCAGTAAACTAGAAAATCTAATTAAGTCCCTGCTTCTGACTTACCTTAAAGACATGAAACAGATCTAGCCTTTATTTCATCTTTACTTCTTTGAAACCTACCTTGCAGTTCCTTAAGTTTGTTTTTTGCATCACACAATTCTTCTTCTGCAGTACACATTTTCAGATGGGCACTTTTTCTGGCAACTGCCAATTCATACTCCAGACCTTGTCGAATGGCCTCTCCTTTCTCAAATTCCGACCGTAATTTGATTATCTGTTTCTCATAGTTGGACACCTAGAAAATAAATTTCACAAAACTGCTAACAATGTTCACTTGAAGAAGTACAACATGTTGCAGAAATACACCTACAGAATATTTTTTAAATGTACTTGGAATCACATTCATAACTGCCATCTTATTCAACTTGAATTTGAAATATAATCTTGCAACTGCATGTTTATGCACATATTGATACTTCACTGGTTTTTGCGAACTGATCCTTTTCCTAGATGAATTTCATGTACCTTAAATATACCCCTCCATTTTTCAAAAAATATACTACCTTAAAAAAATTAATCATATACTACTGTCATCTTCCTGCACCTCAGAGGAAAAAAATGCCATAAGAAAAACATTATATTCCAGACGATTTTCTGGCAACATTCAGAACAATCATATTGGGATACTAGACTATCAGACATCTAGTAACTCACAAATACACATACAAGCATAAAATTCAGTCCAATAATGGTTAGTAGTGAAACAGATGCCTTTAATGCTAACACACAACAAACTAAGAATAGAAAACACTTCCAAAAGGGATCTTATACAGGCTAAGAAACAATCTTTGCTGCCAAAAACTGGATTCAGAAAATCAAGTTCAAGATATTTCAACACAAGAAGATGGAAAGTAAAATAGATATTCCTTCAGAACATCTACAAAGTAGCAATATTCTTGTCAATGAGAATTTCATACATGGGAAATCACTCACATTACAAAGGATTTCATTGATGTTGTTGCAGCAAACTAGTACTGAAATGAAGTGGCATTAAGAATATAGTCAATTAATTTTTTATTTAGTCTGAATCTCAGTTCCCCCACTAACAAACACAGAAAAAGGTGGGTGCTGAGTTGTAGTCAGTTTCAGTATATTGCTGCTAGGCACACTTCCCACATTTGCTAATGCCAAACTGGCAGTTGGTAATCTGGTTTAAACTATGCTGCTGAAGAAGTATTATTACAGCAATTCTGCTCTAAGCAATCTCCCAGGAGAAGTTGATGTGGGTGCTCATTCATCTGTTTTTGGCTAAATACAGCCAACAGAACAAGTTTGCTGTTCCATGTGCATTTATTATCTGGGTATGTACCCAAATTGAGAGATGCCTGCTTCTCCCAAAATGACTCGTTCTTGTGCTTCAGTTACATTGTTATTTTCCTGTTGGCTTATCAACTGTGGTGTCATTGCAAAAAATGGATCCATGGAACTATCTGGATTGAAACAAACAAACAAAGAAACAAACAATCTCTTACATTGAGCTCAGGGTGCACAAGGTTCTTCTGCATTTTGCTGTTGAGAAGTGCTTGAGTTGCTTACCACACCTTTAACTGTTAACAATGACAGCAGAGGTGCTAACAGTATCTAGGAACAGGTATGAGAGGTCTGTACAGTGACACCTTTCTTCATATTTTCCATTTACGGACTATGCTTTTGATCCACTATCTGAGAATATTACTTCAATTAAACAAGATGAAATTTAATCCAGGAGTAAAATACGGCAAATGAAAAAGAAGTCCTTACTTCTTGATTGTGTCGAATAGTTAAGTCCAAGTTTTCTTTTTTAGCTTGAAGAAGTTTCCATTTCACACCTAAAACAGCATCCAAATCTAATTCATTGCTCTTCTGTAGTAACTCACATTCCTCATTATGTAGGCTGCAAAATAAAGAAAAGGTAAACATTCCTTGTAACTTTTAACGTTCCCTTATTTCGATTATCAGATTGTGGGTCCAAAGCTCTATACATTCATTTAGGTAAAGCTGTACCTATCGTTGCTTATTATGCAAACTGTGAGACATGTAGAAGCAGCAACTTATACTAGATACGCACTTTTAATTTCCCTAAGTCGATTTAAGCATGCTTTTCATTATTTATATTATTGATCCAATAAACTACCAGGATGGTCAAAAACATCATTTCAATAACATATATTAAAATGACTGGCAAGTTTCTGTCTTTCTCTTCAGTAAGGCTCATTCTATAACATGGACTACTGTCTCAAAAACATCACTATCATAAAACAATTGCATAAATGTGGAATAAATCTCACTCTTCCACATTTTGTTTTCAAAAATATATACATCTAAACTACAGTAAACAATTGTTCACAAACAAAATACAAACTAAGAGTCTAGTCCTCTAAAATATCCTATTATTTCCACTACTTTTTCAGCCAAAAGAAAAGCTACTTGGCAGGTAACAGTATTCACCTCTGAACATCACAAGCTCAAAACAATTAAAACAAGTTTTTATGTAGAGAATGAAAAATTAATATAAAAATACATATTTAATTAACTAACTTAATAATCTTACAATCAATTATTATAACTCAAAGTGGACAACTCAAATTTCAGGAGTTGAAACTCAGTCTTCACATTATTTGATATATGTCATTTTTCAAATTATTAAAGCTATGTAAGAATGGCTTTAATATTCAGTTGCTCCACACAAAACTGAAAGTTGTCACTAAATATAAATTAAACTGTAAAAAGAAACATAATTAAATTAAACAAAAAAGTTGGCATCATTTCATGCAGAGCTGAAAATAATAAAATAGCTTACATTGGTCTACATGAAATCTGAAGTGTTAATTACAAAAATAACAGTTTAATAAATTCCAGTACACTGGGTTTTTCTAAATAATAAAAAAAAATTATCACTTTACTCCTAGGTTTAGGCACAGGCACCATTAACATTTTTCACAACTAAAACCTTTACCTGATGATATATGTTTTCTCACATAAACTGACTAACACAAATGTCATCAACAAGTGGAACAATGTTCCAGGTTAAATATATTAATAAGAACAAATGATGAAATTTCATGTTTTCTAGCTGCAGCCTATAAATATTTTATAATTTAATAAATTCTGTCAAGTCTTCATTTAAAAACAAGATAGACTTAATCTATGTGATAAGAATAATTGTACATCATCAGTACTTGGTCCACAGGGGTGCCATGTACTTAACACAGTTTATATTTTTAATATATGTAGGAGATAAGGATCATTAAAACCCACATGTACTGCAAGAAAACCACTGGCACATTATTAGCTTTCAGTATTTACATACCCAGAGGAACCAACACATCTCAAAGGGTAAACAATCAGTAACCAAGTAAGTAAAATCCCATACCATTATTTTAAGCAAGTCTTAGCTAATTCAATTAAGAAAATATGGTTGTAAGTCAGGAAGGAAGTAAGAAGAATCTGAACAGTGAAAGTGATGACTTTTCACTCATCCTAAAATCATGAACCCGACACTGTTAGGTGATGAAAAGGGGTAACCTTTATAAGAATCCTTAGGTGCACAATTCACCAGGTGGAAAACATTGAAGATGCACATATAGCATAACATGTAGCATAACTTTTATTTTTAGCAAATTAGTATATCTGACAAAAATCCCCAATTAGAGACGTCAGTGTTAAGGTAATTTCCTCCCAGTTCAACCTTCAAATTCCCCTGTCTAAAGGAATTCTAGTTCCTTTAGACAGGAACTGCACTTTGTTTATGAAAATCTGTCTCAGAGAGCTAGTTTCAACCTTGGCATCGCCAAAAATTTAGCCTTGGACTCCCAGGTTGGAGCCACTGAGAAATTTATGTTGTCTTCCTTTCTAATAGACTAGGTAAAATGCTACAAATACTATTATAGACTACAGAGCTACAAATATATGTGCAAAGAATATAAGGCAATATAATATAAAAGGCAAAATAAATTAAGCATCAAGAGCACTTGTAAACTGTATAAAAGATTGTTTGTGGACATCATATAATGGGTTTGGTCGACCTTTATTTTCCCATGGCTGAGGAAAACACATGAAAGACAGGTTGTCCTATTCAAAGATTATACAAGAAGTATCTGTCTCAACTAAAGACACCCAAAAACCTGGTGGTACCAAGATGAACAAAGCACAGCATAGGGGAAAAACAAGACCCAGACTGAAAGCTAGGGATGACTAATGCAAAGAACAAGGATTAAGAAAAGGGTAACCATTTTGATAGTTTGTGGGCAGCAGGGAGGTCATTGTGCTTACTTAAGCCTGATGATATTTTATACTTCTTGCAAGGAGAGCACATTAAATGAAAGCAAGGAACAACTTATTTTTGTAAAGTAATTAAAAGGAAACACCTTCATATTTTTAAGGAAATTACTTTGGTTTTTATGGCAATCAGCTTTAAATAAAGCTCCTCCTTTCAATTCTGCTATTAATTACCCAGGAAAAAAAAAAAAAAAAAAAAAAGAGTGTACCGCAGATACCTGCACAATAAAACTAACTCAGAGAAAAATTTCACTACGTGCTTAACTGGACCAGTAGTGCGAAAAAAAACCACCACAAACAAGTTACATGATACCACAATAGCAAACTAGGGACATTATACAAATGAAAAATGTGCATAAGAGCATGAAGACAAACAGCATAACTGTAAGTACTGTGGGGAAAAAGGCATTAAAAATAACTTCTTATGCACAGCATAGGAATTCTCCTTAATTAGCTGCCTTATTTCTGTGGTATCTTCTTTAATCCTCACAGCATCACCAGCACACACAGTAAGTACTTTATGAAAGCTTCATACTACCTACTGTAGAAGAGTCTTCCTTCCATATTCATTTACCAGTAAAAGTGCTACAAGCATAAAGTTCTTGGAAGCCTAAGTCACAAAATCAGGCAAAATCCCTGGAAAGTTTCAAATCACGTATGATTTGCAGTCTAAGAGGAAATCAGACACTGCTTTGCACATCCATTTTCACATATTAATAGTTTGTTGATCATTGATTTTGAATGAAAACACATATTTTAGCAACTAGAGCTTTTATCTAAGACACTATTTTTGGTAGTACTTTAAGGCTCCTTAAGAAAGCATATGAGCAGGTGAAATAGCTTTTGAGTTCCACATCACAGAATGCTCAAAAATTCTGTGATGAACATTCACTTCACAAGTCAGCTAATTACAGTCAACAAAGAACATCACAGAGAAACGGTTTTCACTGGCTTTTCTTCCACATATGGCTGAAAATGTAATTTTATAGCAGAGAAACTTTCTTTCATTTACTATGTAGCAGTGTAGTTATACTGAACTTCTCCAGATGAAGAAGCAGCCTGTAGCCTGACTTCCTAACCAAAGTATCCACTGAATTTTGCTACATCTATACAACTGGCAGGTTTTCACTATCAGATTTTAAATAGTGACAAATAGCTCTCCCAGTTAAGATAAACAGAATGAATTAAAGTTTACTTTAATTGTGCCAAAGATCAAACACATCAGGTTAAAAAAATAAGAGCCATGTGCAACATTTATAACCAACCTCTACCCCCACAGCTATTGTAGAAAACCCTTCTGGAACTCCACAACATTGTTCCAAAATGGAGACAAAAACTCTGTCATGTCTCCTATGCCCATGTGAGAATTCTTGCACATCAGATGGCCAGTATGTACACCTGCAATGATGGAGTGACTGCTGCCAAAACTTCAATAAAAATAGCAAACTCCTTAGCAGCAATGTAGCATTAAGAAGCAGGCATTCTTTATTCGGTCATATGCGCAAGTAGCTCCTCCTACAGTTTTGCATGCTGAGTATAGGAAAGTTTCTGATTACACACATATTTTACGTACATATTCATTGATTGTCCCAGAATAAAAATACACTATAATAATTTACCCATTATCATTTAAGTATTTTGTCCCTCCTTTACGCATGTGTTCTTCTGCCCTGGGGGTCTCTCATAGTGGTCAGGGATGTTACAGCTGACAAAGTCAAGCTGACAGGGCACTAGGGCTGGTGAACTTCCAGTTCTCCTTCTTACACAATAGCATTGTGCAGTTCCACAGGCCAATGGTTGTAGGAGAACAACCATTGTGTCAGCTCACCAGGTGTTGACAATTTATCATCCAGTAACATGACAACATCAGTGGGCAAAGGGCTACAGATGGCATTTATCTGGGCTTCTGTAAAGCCTTTTGACACAGTCCTCCACAACATCCTTCTCTCCAAATTGGAGAAATGGATTTGATGAGTGGACTCATTTGCTGTTGGATATGAGAATAGTTGGATGGCAGCATCCAAAGGATAGTGATTAATGGCTCAGAGTCCCAAAGGACATCAATGACAGGTGTCCCTCAGGATCCATACTGGGACCAGTGTTATTTAGTATCTTCATTAACTGACATTATGTTGAGTCAGGGACAGAAAGAAAAGACTCCAGTCTTCAGGAGGCAAATTAGAAGGCTTTAATGAAAGTAGAGCACCTTTTTATAATGTGACTTGCTAAGGTGAGACTTGATTGGTCTCAAAGTAAAAACTTCTCACACTATTGGTGAGCTGTGAATAGCACACTCCGAAGAATCATATCTATAAACAAAAGTTACAGAAAAAGAGATAATAATTGTTTTAATTCTTTTCTTTAAGTTTCCCAGGCTCATTCTGGGAGAAAACTATCTCTGTTCTTTCTTCGTCTGAACTGAGAATATCCACACAGACAAAGGGATCACTGCTCTCTAAACAAGTCTGTAGATGACACCAAGCTGAGTGGTGCAGCTGACACACCTGAAGGATGGGATGCCACCCAGGGGGACCTGGGCAAGCTCAAGAAGTGGGCCCACAGGAATCTCAGGAGGCTTACCAAGATCGAGTGCAAGGTGCTGCACCTAGGTCAGGGCAAGCCCCAGCACAGACTGGGGATGAACAGATCAGAGCAACCCTACCAAGAACGACTTGGGGTGCAAGTGGAGGAGAGGCTGGACATGACCCAGCCATGGGCACTCCCAGCCCAGAAAGCCAAATGTGTCCTGGGCTGCATCCAAAGCAGCGTGGGCAGCAGGGCCAGGGAGGGAATTCTGCTCTGCTCTGGTGAGACCCCCAACTGCAGGGCTGCATCCAGCACAGGAAGGACATAGACCTGTTGAAGCATGTCCAGAGGAGGCCCAAGAAGTTGATGAGAGGGATAGAGTGCCTTTCCTGAGGTGAATTGGAAAGGCTGAGGGAATTGTGTTTGTTTATCCTGGAGAAGAGAAACTCCAGGGTGACCTAATTGTGGCTCTCCAGCACCTGAAGGGAGTCTGCAAGAAAGATTGAGATAGACTTTACAATAGCATGGAGTGACAAAACAATAAAGAATGGCTTTAAACAGAAGGAGAGTAAGTTTAGATTAGATATTAGAGAAATCCTTTACTGTGAGAGTGGTGAGGTACTGGAACCAGTTGCCCAGAGAAGCTGTGGACACCACATTCCTGGCAGTTGGCTCAAGGCCAAGGTGAATGGGATTTTATGCAATCATGCCTAGTGAAAGGTGCCCCTGTCCAGAGCAGAGGTCAATTATCTTTAAGGTCTGTTCCAGCCCTGGCCATTCCATAATTCTAAGATCTAATAACTGTACTGACATGGCATAGGTTGCATATATTACACTGTAGCTGATTCTTTTTCAGTCTGAATTAGATAATTTCAGGGATCTAGAAAATAAACCACAAAAAACTGGAACTATATTACTAGACTAATAAGTATAGAAATGAAGCTCACCTTCTAGCTTCTGTGACAGAATAGTTGACAGGAGAGGATGAACTCATGATGGCCAATAGACAGCTTGTCAAGCTGCAAAAACTATAAACTCTGGAGAATGAATCAACTGTATATACATTTACTTGACAAGCTTCCAAGATGATTCTTCCATATCATAAAAACATTACAATCTGTAACAGAGACATGCTTTAATTTATTTACCAACATAATGAATCATTTGTTAATACTCACAAGCAGTTAGAAAACAGTATTACTACTACATCATATGAACAACTACTGCCTATAATTTTACAGTCTTAGACATCTATGAGAATTGTACTTCTAGTCCTTGAAGCTTGAATACTGTAGATCAATATATACATATATAGTAACACAGCAGAATATCCCCTGCCAAGGTTTTCAGAATATCACTAAAAAGTATTTTGTTCCCATACATTGATCCTCTATCTTGTAAGAATACTGCAAGCTCCATTTCTCTTCAAAACAATTCTATTGAAGATAAATGCATATATCATGATTGAATGTCCTAGTTTGCTGTCTGATAACAGCCTTTAACACAACAAGTCTTCCAAGTATTTTACAAACCTGGAATTTTCTATTTGAACATATTTTTATTGTATTAGATAAATCAGCAATAGCTAGGACTATACAGAAGGAATTCTAAATTGAACTGTAACTCTACTAATCTTTAGAAAAAATCATTAATTTAGTGTCACAATAAAAAAGAAATCAATATAGACAAAATATTTATAATGCTGAACTTAAAAAATCCATTGTTTAGGTCAAGTTGCACAGCAAATTCATTAAAGACCTCTTTTAATTAATTAAAGCAAAGTAATATGAACTATAAGCTGTATTCAACAGTCAATATTAATGACCCATAAAGGTTTGTTTTTGAACATGATAGCAGATGGACATGCATACTAAAGTCCAAAACAGGAAACTTGCCTAGACTCCATTTTTACCACCCCTGGTTTGTAGTCATATGCCCACAGAATCATAGAATAAGCTGAGTTGGAAGGCATCCATTAGAACTATCAAGTCCCAACTCCTGGCCCAGCACAGGACACCCCAAAAGTCACACCATGTGCCAGAGCACATTGTCCCAATGCTTCTTGAACTCTCTTAGTCTGGTGCTGCAACCTCTTCCCTGGGAGTCTGTTCCAGGGTCTAACCACCTTCACTTAAGGGTGAAGGACCTTCTCTGAATATCCAGCCTAAACCCCCCCTAACTCACTTTCAGGTCATTCCCTCCGTCCGGTCACTAGAGATTAAGGATCAGTGCCTGTCCCTTCACTTCCCCTTGAGAGGAAGTTGTAACTGCGATGACATCTCTCCTCAGCGTCCTGCAGACTGAACAGACCAAGTGACCTCAGGCATCCCTCATAACATTTTCACCAACCTTGCATACCTCCTTTCAGTACTCTCCAATACTTCAATGTATATTTAATATTGTGGTGTCCAGTGGCAGCAGTAGGTGTAATATATTAATATAAACTGGCTTTATTCATTCCAGTTGCTGGATGAGTGATATGGGAAAGAAAAAAATGCATTTCTGCTTCAATCTATAATTTTAACAGAAAATGCAGCAAAAATAAACTTATTTTTAACAACTCTGAGTTTTTGGTTTGGGATTTTTTCTTTGTTTTCTTTTTACAGAAAAGTAGTATATTCATATAGAATAACTAGGTGTATCCTTTGTGATCTTTAACATCTACTCATCAGAATTCACCTTGGTGCATGTGTTCAGAAAATTCAAAACACAATAATTGCCATGCAACAGACACTCACACTCCTACAGAAAACAGCATAGCTTTTTTTCCATCTCAAATGAGAAAGCAGTTGAAAATCTCATTTTCAAAGTATAGTCTGTAGAATAATTTCTAGGCATATGTTAAGTTCCATTAAATTATTAGTGACTTGCACACTTTATGTAAGAGAAGAAAATCTTGAAAAAGTACTTGTAGTACTGTACTCAACAAAGACGAATCGCTTCGATAAAAATGAAAATGAGGTATCCTGGTATTGGAAACTATACCTCTATCAATTGTGCCAAATTTTCCCATTCAGACATAGCTCTGAACACTAAGAAATTAGTATTTTAGACCACTCTTTTCTTAATATTTATTGCCAGAAATATATATTTGGCTTTATACCAAAACCTGAACAGTAATTAAAAAAAAAAAAAAAAAAAAAAAAATGAAAAAAAAAAGGTGCAACTAAATAGATGCAGCAGAAAAAAAATCTGTCTCAAAGCATAAGCAAAATCTCCTCTGATACATCCATACCACCTTGAAGTTTTAGATCCTTCTGAAATTACTTTTAAGTCTTTTCATTACTTTGACAGGGAGGGAAACGGGGAATATCTAATGACTGCTTTCTGGGAATGTTAATGATCTTGAATATACAACATCTCTCTGCTAAGATGCACATCCATAGTTTACTAGCACACAAATGGACACACTCCAAGAGCATGCTACTTCAATCAGGCAAAAAAAAAAATTCAAGGGGCATGGAGTGGCTTGTCAGAGCACCATAATCAAACACAAGTTAGAAAGTTTTTGCTTGAGGAGGTAATATATTTGATGGATGTTACCTACAAAACTTGTGTCATAGTCTCCTCACGAACTTCTGAATATGCTTAACTAGCTTTATGAAGGCCATTGATTTAAACTGAATGTGGAGAAGAACTTTTTTATTGTGAGGGTGTTGAGGTACTGAAACAGGCTGCCCAGAGAAGCTGTGGATGTTCATCCCTGGAAGTGTTCCAAGACCAGTCTGGATGTGGCTTTGATCAACCTGGTTTAGTGGGAGGTATTCCTACCCACGGCAAAGGAATGGAAATGGAGCATCTCTAAGGTCCCTTCCAGCGAACTGAATCTAACCAGGATGTACTAATTTGAAACACACGAGGCCAGGCGGAACTACCACATCTGTGCTGCAACTACAAAAGCTCACCAGCTTCGGCTGAACGAACGGCTAGCATTTCGCTAATGCAGGCTGAAAAAATTTAAACCAGCTAAAAACCAAAGTAGAAGCATCCCTTCGCACCGTGGCCCCGGAGCGGCGCTGGCTGAGCGCACGCCGTACCGGCAGCTTTGGCGCTTTACCTGGCAGGAAGGGCTGAGGGAACAAGGTCACAACAGAGCTCCAGCAGCAGCGCCCCGGGGCCGCTCCGGGCTGCCGGGGCGAGCGCGGCCGCCGGGAAGCGCCGGGAAGCGCAGGGAAGCGCCGGGACGCACCGGGAGGCGCCGGGAAGCACCGGGAGGCGCAGGGAAGCGCAGGGAAGCACCGTGAGGCGCCGGGAAGCGCCGGGAAGCACCGCGCCGTTTCCAGGCGCCGCAGGCAGGGACGCGGCCGCCGCGCCGCGCCCTCACAACGGCAACTTCCGGCCGCGGCGGGAACGTCATCGGCGGCGGGCCGGCCGCGTCCTGGCCGCTCTGGGTCCCGAAAATGTAATGTGCATGTAGGAAATTAAAATCACCGCCTGACGTGAGAGCCAGATGGAGGTGTGCATGGCCTCAGTTTCGGGGCAGCACATCCTTTACTCGTATTATCAAGAGAAACAAAGAGGTAAATGACTTTGAGAGACCCTAGGACAGAAATCACGCCGTAACAACGTTACTATTTCCCTTCCGGGCGCCTCAGTGCACAAAGGGAAAGGTTTCTTTGAAACAATTTCAAGACCCAGATGTAAATATATATGATTTCAAACAAGAGCAGCATAAGCGAGTGAGAGAATAAAATCCACCCCACCATACCTTAGAAAAGCGGACAATAGCAGTAACATGTAAGTGGTATATCCTTCAAGGTACCAACTCAAGTTTTAATAAAAAGAAAAAAAACCTCTGTAATATTTTCACCCCTAGAGAAAAAGACTTAAAACTTAATTGCTAGTTTCTGACTTGATTTATGTAATTGGCTTTTACTGATGATTTTTCTGCTTCTCCATCATGCAATTACTCTAAATGCCTAGTGCCAGATTAAATAAGTTCTTTGCCCAGGTTCACAAAAATAGATTTCATTATGTTGCAGTTCTGTTAATAACAGTGTGATTGGGTTTTTTTTGATCAAAAATACAGAGTGAAGAGGATGTCCTCTCTGCTGTTGTCTGATGAGTAGTCAAAAATTAATATGAAAAATGGCCTCAGCTAATGAAAAAACATAAATTATGTGATAATATGAAAGGAAGCAGAGACCTAGCATCATATTTGAATGTTGTGATAGGTTATGGCAGTATAAAAACTTGAAAAATTCTGAACCAGTAATACTAGCTTATCTGCCCAAAATGTTGCTGCACACATGTAGTTAAACAAACACCTCTCCTTCCTCCCAGACTGAAAAATACATACCATATATAGAACCATCTGTAGAATTATTTCAGTTGGAAAAGACATCTAAGATCATCAAGTCCTACCATTAGCCCAGCACTGCCACGGCCACCACTGAACCATATCCCTAAGTGCTGCATCTGTATGTCTTTTAAATACCACTAGGGATATGGACTTTTACCCCAAGTGATCATTCATTTTTACATAGGAAGAAAGTTTTTTATCTCTCTTAATATATTGACAATTTTATATTTTTTTCATGAGAAAGTTGATGTTGAGGATATGAGCTTTTCTTCCTCCAAGAAAAGCAAACAGATCTGACTTGTTTAAGCCATCAGAAAAATGCAGTTTTTTCTTGCTTAACACAGACGGGGTAAAATTTTACAGTTAAAGTTTATAAAACCACATTTTGCATTTAAGGAGGAGAGAGCCTAGAACAAATCACAACTTGCTCTGTGGCAACTGCAGTGGGTGTTTTAGACCTGACTTGAGTTTCAGTATCAAAACTGAAAGGGGTAAGATGATTCTCCCTTCTCACAAGGACTTACCTTTATGTTGAAGTAGCACAGAGGGGAACTGGCAGAAAACTGACCTGTAAAACTTGTGCATCAGGCCACACACCAAAGATGAAAAATTGAGCACAAAACGACTAGGTCTTCCCCTGTGAAAAAGTGTATAGAGTAAATTTTTGTGCCATACTATGACTTGCAGGAGGTGCTATGTGGGGCCATCACACAGGACTAAACCCAGAGAGAGATGACAGGCAAGTTAATTTTTGATGCAGAGCTAGAAGTAGACACAACAGGATAAGCAGGCTGTAAGAAAGAAGGTAGTGGATTTATTTGATTTTGAGATCTTCACTTTGGAGAAAAGTATTTGTGGGGAGGCTGGCAGTGGCTGATGTACTTACTAAGGAGGTCAGCTGACAGAAACAGGAGAGGATGGCATAGTGGCTTGAAATACTAGGTGAGGAGGAAGCTTAATGCCGACTGGTAAACAAGCCAGGAGAGAATAGATATGGAGAAGGCAAGGGAAGTAACATAGTCTGAATTAGTATCAGTCCTAGTTAGAAAACAAAACCAGTCAACCAACCAAAAAAAAAAACAAAAACAAAAACAAATACAAACAAACAAACAAAAAATCCAAAAAACACCTCCACCAAACCCAGGAGTTAATGGTGACTAAGTAGCAAGTAAGGCCTTTGTTACAGACTTAAGAAAATAAAACACTCCGAGTTGTTGTATGCTGGGGGAAGTCAACACATCAAGCAAGGGGCTGGTGAGTACCCGGGTAACATGGGCAGCTTTTGGGCCGGCAGCAATAAGGGATGAAAAGTCCGGCAAGGGAACGGCTCTCTAACGGAGCTCGTGGGGCATGAGACACACAAAGGGTCCCGCGGGGACATCGCACTCGCCCACTTTGGGAAGGAGACTGGCGCTTATTAACCGCGCCAGCCTGTCAGTGGCTGAGCAAAGCCCATTCCCGCGTGTGCGTGGCGATCCTCAGCTCGGCTCGCACCGCGGCCGAGGGCGGTCCCACAGCCGCGCCGCTGCGGGAGCTCCTCCTCCTCTTCCTCATCTTTTCTTCCTCCTCGTCCGCGGCCGCTCCGCCCCGACCGGAGGAGGAACGAACCACTTTTCCGACTGCGGGGAGAGGGAGCGAACGAGACTTTTCCCATTGGTTTCTCCAACCCTGCCTCGGGTCCGGCGGGCTCTTTCCTCCCGTGGCTGCCCGCATTCCTCCAGGCGTGGAGGCGGGAGCCGAGCCGTCTGTCTTACGACGGGGCGCTCGCCGAGTCCTCGGCGGCGCTCCGGAGCTCCCCCGCCACCACGGCGCGGCGTGCGCGATGGTACGGGCCCGCTGGCGGGAGGAGGCGGCGCGGCCGTGTTTCCCGCGGCGGGCGGCGGGCCGGACGCCAGCACGGTTGGTAGCGGCGAGCTGCACCGCCGCTGGTGAAGCGGACGGCGGGCGGGTTGGGAGAGCGAAAGAGAGAGAGAGAGCGAGGGAGGGAGAGAAAGAGAAAGGGGGGCTCAGGCGGTAGCGGGAGAGAGAAAAAAAAGGATGGATAGGGGAGAGGAGGGCGGGCGGAGTTACTGCTCCGCGCGCCCCCTCCCTCCCCCCGCTGCCCCCCGCAGCGCTCTCGCGCCATCGTGCCCGCGTGCGTGAGGGGGCGAGCGGCCGCTGGGGCCGGGGGAGATCGGGACAAGGTGGCGGGCGGCTGTCCTGGCCAGGCGGCCTGGCCGTGCCCGCGGGCGGGCGCTGACGCTGCAGTGCTCAGGGGGTCTTTTTGCAGGGGTGGAGGGCGGGCACGGTACAGCGCGCCCCAGCCGGGGGCCGCCCGCCCTTGCTGACGTGCTTTCTTGTGTTGCCCTTCTCTGCTCTCTCCCGCCCCAGTGTGTTTATCCCGGCAGCGAGTGGCACCTCGTGTGGCTGGCAGTGCCTCGGTGATTGCTGGAGGTGCAGAGCCTTTCCTTCTCCGAGCCCGGCTCGCCAGGCGGCAGCGGGGCGTTACGTCGGTGAGAAAACATGAGCCGAGATTTCAAACCCGGAGACTTGATCTTCGCCAAGATGAAAGGTTACCCCCATTGGCCGGCCAGGGTAAGGCTCCCCCTCCTCCCCGTGCCCCGTTCTCTGCGGGGTGCGCTCACACACCTGTGCTGAGCAGCACCTCCAGCTCCGCCTCCTGTGAGGGAGGATGTGGCTGGGCTCCCGGTGTAGAAACAGCTTTGCAGTCACATTGTAGATCCGTACTGTAGAAAGTAGCCCTCTCAATTAGTCATTAGTTGTCCTAATTTGTGTAGCGCGCCTTTACGGGATGAAGACTGCTGTATGGTAGCCTGATACTGGAGCATGTGCAGGCCCCTGGAGCTGTTCAAGAAAAACACGAATTTATTGCAAGATTACTCCCAAGTGGGCTATGTCTACTGTACTTTCTGTTAAATAGGCTATGTGTATGTGGTAACTTGTTACTTTTTTGTGTTCTCTGTGCTCCAGTGGAAAAGGCATGCCAAGTTCTGGGACTGCTGTAGGTCATTTGTGGGATGTGGGAATGGAGTTTAAAAGGTATTTAGGTGAGATGCTGACTTAGGAATTGGAGTTCTTGTAAAGTTTATTACCCTTTTAGTAGTACTTCACGTTTGGCCTTCCACAAGTTATCAGGTCAGCCATAAGGGTAGGAAGTCTTCTTGTTGCTTTTCCTTAGGGATGGGCAGTATATGGATGAAATTTAATTGTGCCTTTTGCCTGTAACACATTGTAATCTCTCCTTTTAAGAGAAGTGGTCGTGTGAAAAGTATCTCTGTAAACTGAAAGTAATGTAATTTTCTGTTGTTGCTAATACTGATTTTGATTCTGCTATATTTTTTTACATACTGTTAGAAAGATATCTAAGTTCCTGCTTTATTTTCTGTAGCTATTTTATTCCCATTTTAATGATTAATTTTTATATATTTCCCCTAACCGTTCTTGACTCTTACTTGATTTGAATTATAATAGGCTGTGTTTTTCTTAGGTGGATGAAGTTCCTGATGGAGCAGTAAAACCACCTATGAATAAAATGCCTATTTTCTTCTTTGGCACCCATGAGACGTAAGTTCTTTATATTTCAGTGTTGTATTTTTTTCATTTTAAAATGCTGTGGCAAAAAGTTATCTTCTCTGAATGTAGTGTATTGCAAGCTATTGTATTTATTAGCACATGTTCCTAAATTGATCTGTTTTGTCAAGACATGATTCTGTAACATTTACTTAAGCTCTTCAAGGAACCATAACCATAACATGTATACTTTGCTCATCAGAAAAAAAAAAATAGTACCCACAATGATGTGGCTGATGGGTTTTTCTTTTTATCTGTAATGAGTTTAATTATAGTCCTGTAAATCATCAAAATTCTCAATACTATATTCTCAAAGAAGTGAATTAGGCAAAATTTGAGAAATGGACAACTAATCATGTACTGGAGTTGTTTTTATTGTTTGGTATATTGAGTTTCTTCTGACGAGGTTTTGGGTTTTGGATGGTATTATGTTTATGAGAT